GTGTTTACCCCCCTCCCCTTGGGTTTGTGAGCCGCCCTGAGTCCCTCAGGGAATAGGGCGGCATATAAATGCAATAAACCTTCAACCTTCAACCTACATAAGTCTAAGTGCTATTGCTATTATAAATTCAAGGGGTGGATCTCTTCCATTTTCCCCTTCTCTGCTCCCTGGTAGGTTGCGTCCTAATTTCAGATGTTTGCTTCTTAAATTGAGCCGCTGGAGGACACATGTAGCACATGCTTTTCCTTCCTAGCAGTCTTTTTGTCTTTTTTCAACAATAGGAATATTAAATTTAACTGATACTGGATACATTTTGTCCTTTTGAGGGGTGGGGGGACTTTAATAATTCAGGGAGAATTGTAGATTAAAAAGGTGAAGTACATCATTGGCGATGGCAATTAGCCATTAAGGCATTCTGTTGAAAATATCTTGCCCAGTCTCGTGTTGAAGTCCTTTCCAAACAGACCATCTGGGAGGTGTCACGTACTCCTAATTAGGTAAATGGTTCATTTAAGGAACGTTAATTCTTTTCCCTCTTTTTTTTAACTGACTATTTTTGTCTTCAGGAAGAAGAGGAAGAGCCAGAAGGAAAACCAAGTGATGCAGAAAGTTCGGAGTCCTCAGATGATGAAAAAGGATGGGTTGAAGAGGTCAGGAAACAGCGCAGCCTTCTACGCCAAGAGGAAAAAGTGAAACGCCAGGAAAGGTTCAAGGAGGATCAGAAAACAGTCCTGGAACCAAAGTTTTTTGAGATTAAAGCTGGGGAAGAATTTAGAAGTTTCCAAGACACTGCCCAGAAGCAAAAGTTAATGAAGTAAGACCTGTGATTTTATTCCATTCTAGTGATTTGTCCTCATTTTTTTTTTCCATTGCTCATGATTTAAGATGTGATGATTTCGGATTTCTGCTGAAGGCAGTTGATTTCATAGTGCAAATATAATGAAGAGGTTTCTCTTAATTTATGCATTCGTTTGCATACCAATTAGAAAAGGAGGTGCAACTACAATTGACTCTTTAGAAATGAGGGGCTGTGCATAGGGAGGCACAAGGCCAATTTGGCATGAAGAGTGTTCGAAGACTCCAGTTAGTCCAGAACGCAGCCGCGCGAGCGATTGTGGGTGCACCCAGGTACACCCACGTCACACTTATCCTCCACGAGCTGCACTGGCTACCCATTAGTCTCCGGACCTGTTTCAAGGTGCTGGTCGTCACCTATAAAGCCTTACATGGCATCGGACCTGGGTACCTGAGAGACCGCCTCCTGCCGATTACCTCCCATAGACCGATTAGATCTCACAGGTTGGGTCTCCTCTGGATCCCATCTGCCAGCCAATGTCGGCTGGCCACCCCCTGGGGGAGAGCCTTCTCTGTCGCATCTCCGGCCCTCTGGAATGATCTCCCTGTCGAGATCCGGACCCTTACTACCCTCCTGGCCTT